ATTCTGTGCTCTTTTAACTATAGAGTGCTCTATTGTGAGAGTTTGCATTTTGTAGTGGTTAATGAAAACACTGCTGAATTTCCAGTCTGTCTGACAATCCCACAATGCACGACAATAGATAGAGCATCAACAATATCTGGCAGAATGTGACTACTGTTGCAGAATGTTGAGCAAACCTGCATATATTAGTGTTTAAAATTGTTTACTTTTACTGTTCCCTAAAATAGTGTTCTACGTGGATTATTCTATTGAAATAGTTCAGAGTCAGAGTTCAAAACTCAATATGAACAACAGCTTAGCTACAAAGTGGTAGACCACTCAAAACTCACAGAGTGGGGCCCCCGAGTGGTAAAGCACACAGTGTCTATTCTGTGTTGAATCACTCACTGTAAAGTTCCAAATTGGCTCTGAAACTGTGCATCAGGAGCTTCAGGGAATAGGTTTCTATGGCTGAGCAGCTACACACAAGCCTAAAATCAAAATGCCAAGCATTGGGGGGAGTGGTGTGACTCCACCACTGCACTCTGGAGCAGTGGTATTCTGCGGAGTGACGAATCACACTTCTCTATCTGGCAGCCTGATGGACGAGTCTTGGTTTGGCGAATACCGAGAGAACGTTACTTGCCTGACTCTGTGCCAACTGTAAAGTTTGGTGGAGGAGGGATAATGCAATGGGGCTATATACAGGGGTTGGCCTAGGTCTCTTAGTTCCAGTGATAGGAAATCTTAATGCTTCAGCAAACCAAGACGTTTTAGACAATTCTATGCTTCCAACTCTGTGGGAACAGTTTGGGGAAGAACCTTTTCTGTTCCAGCATGACTGAGCCCCAGTGCACAAAGCAAGGTCCATAAAGCCATGGCTGGTTGAGTTTGGTGTGAAGGAACTTGACTGGCCCGCACAGATCCCTGACCTCAACCCCATCCAACACCTTTGGGATGAACTAGAACGGAGATTGTGAGCCAGGTCCTCTCGTCCAATATCAGTGTCTGACCTCACAAAAGCTCTTCTGGATGAATAGGCAAAAAATTCCCACAGATACACTCCCAGAAGAGTGGAAGCTGTTATAGCAGCAAAGGGGGGACCAACTCCACATTAATGACTATGTAGTTGGAATGGAATGTCATAAAAGCTTCTGCAGGTCTAATGTGTAGGTGTCCCAATACATCTGTCTACATAGTGTATGTTTACTGATCACTATAATAGTGTTCTAGATAGTGCTCTTGATTTTCCAATACAAAGAATAATGAATAGGGAACCATTTTGAACACTGTGAGCAGCTTCAAACCCTGCAAACGAGCAGCAGAGGCCCTTTTGCCACTTCATGCCAGAACATGTTCGGTGGCAGTTGGCAGGCTGTGCTGTCATCCTGCTGTCCAGACACACAGCGTTACATAACAAGAAGTGCTGAGGGCAGTTATCGGCTGGCACAGAGGCACCAATCATAGCAGATTCTAATGCCGCTCTGCAGAAACGGCTTCAGGCAGCAGACAAATGGGCTTCAGGCAGCAAGTCCCTGGACTCTATTTAGACAGTCTGTCCTCCGAGCTAGTAAAACTGGGCACGCATCTGAGCGCAATGCATTCATCATAACAAACAATCATCCATCTTTTAATAAACACACTGCCTGTGTGTCCAAAAGTCTGTGGACTCCTGATCATTAAACGTTTCTTCGGAAATCAAGTGTATTAATTGGGAGTTTGTTCTCCTTTGCTGCAGTAACAGCCTCTACACTATATGTGGCTGTGAAGATTTGATTTCATTCAGGTTATAAAGAGCATTAGTGAGGCCAGGTAGTAATGCTGGATGATTAGTTGTGGATCAAATGCCACTCCAACTCATCCTAAAGGTATTGGATGGAGCTCCCTCACTCCAGAAAATGCAGTTCCACACCAGAGCATCCAGTTGTACAGGCAGTGCTTTTCTATGGAGATTATACAAGCTGTGTGTGCGCAATTGATTAAATGCACTAATTAGAAGGGGTGCCTGGATACTTTTGCGTATATAATGTAGTATCAAATATTTATCTGATTCCTCTAGACTAGAATGATGTGTGTGGAGAAAGTGAAGACTCACAGTTACGGCCATGAGAGGACCAATGTCATTGCCTGAAAGCCATAGAGAGAATGATGCATGGCCTTTTAAATTCAGCAACAGCTGGTGCTTTATTCCCACAGCCACTGTTCTCAAAATCGCAGGATCTGATGCATCTGTGAAAGATGGCTGGAGCAACAAAGAACAGATGTTGGTTATTATAAGGGAAAAACATGCCACCTCCTTATGGCGAATTGGACCACAGTGTGCAATTAGAAGCAGCCTCGACGCATGGTGGATGGTGGTTGCTATTGCAAGGCAGGATATTCTAAGGCCTAAAGTGGCTCCAAAAGGACATTGTTGTGGTGGATTGTAGAAAATGGCACCAGAGACAAAGTTTTCTACACTGCTGGACTCCCCAAGAGAGAGCTACTACTATAATACAGGGTGATTCAAAAAGATTCATCTGAGTTCAAAATGATTTATTTCACTTGTAAATCATTAGGGAACAATGCAGTAAATTATTAATGGTTTAAGTGAGCATAAATTACTATGTAATTTTATTATGTAAGTGCTCAATATGAACCTCCTCTAGCTGTATGGACAACATCAATGCCATCATTCCATTCATCCCATACTCGACTGAGCATGTCGGGTGTCACTGTACTTACGGCTCTTTCAATGCGATTTCGGAGATCATCCAGTGTTGTTGGGAGTGGCACATAAACGGAATCCTTAACAAACCCCCAGTGTGAGATCTGGTGATGCTGGTGACCTTTTTTTTGGAACTGTTGATACCAATGATGAATGCTCTGTTGGAGGTTCACTGCCATACTGACAGTCAGAAACTCTATGACCCCCTCTTTCAATTGGTATGTGATTGGTTCCTAGGTGCCTCACTGTTGCAAAAATATGGATGAATATTTTTGAATCACCCTGTACAATTTATTAGTTGACTCCATATACTATTATATATTTTTATTATATTTATATGCAATTGATCAGCCAAGACATATTTGGTGCTTCTTTAGTTTTGTACTGGTGCTGCAAAGCTAACGAAGCTAAAAGGTAAGGGAAGCTTATACTCTGCTAATTAGCATTGTCAAGATGGCTGCTACTACTGTTCTCAGCTGCGTGTCATGCTTTTGTCCATTTTTATAGAAAACAGTGCATTGTACAGTGTCATAAACCATATAAGGAAGTCTGTTTACAAGTACTTAACAGCTCAATATGTTTTGAGGATGATTAAGGCATGCAGCGTGCACAATGCTAATTGGAGGGTTATAGGCTTCCATAACTTGCTAGCTATGTTAGCCTCGTAGCTCCAGTATAAAACTAAAGATGCCGTTTTCAGACACCAAAGTAATATTAGCTGAACACATTTAGGATAAAGTGAAATGCAAATTGTTGTGGCTAAACTAAGAACATGGTACAACTATGAGCTGATTCCACAAATACATAATTGCATCATGATCTGCCTCCGATTTATAATTCATAATTTTATCACCTCCACACATTTGAAGTGTGCCTACAGCTTCTCAACTCTAATGCTGTTCCACATGGTTTGAGTAGCACCATGTTTCAGTTTTATATTATAGTGTCTTATTAGGAGCCAAAGCAGATGAATCTTTCATAGAAAATGATACACTAGGCTATTATTATGCTCTTATTATTTAGCATGGTGTGCTAAACCTTTGGCCATGTCCTTGTGTGTGCAACAGGCCGACGTCTTGCAGTCCTGCACTCTGTAAGATGTTCTGTATAGTGGAGTTAATAAGTGATCAGGCTAAATTCTTTCCAAAACAACACTGGATGCAACTGCTAGGCTTAGACCCCTTTTAATGGTTCAGGTTTTGGAAGCATTAGGTCGAAGAACATGGAAGCATCTACATTGAAAACAAAACAAAAAAACAATCAAACTCAAATGCCATCAATATAACATACCATCACAAAGTTTAATAGACACATGGACATTTGTAATGTAAACAGACTAAAGATGTAGGCAAAACTCGTCTGGCATGACTGCAGTAAGACAATATTGTAGGCAACTGAAAGTTTAGTATTTTTGACCAAAATTTGTTTGTTAGCAACTCTCACATACGGTGGTTCACTGCTTTGCTTTAATCACAGATCCAACCATCAAGATGAGTCTACATAGATATTTGTAATGCAGATTTGCCCCCCAAAATACACATTTTATCCTTTAAGAACAAAAATGCATAGACAAGTGAGGTTTTTAATATGGTTTTAAAACAACAGTAAACATAGTTGTATTGACGTGCTTGGAAGTGGAGATACAGCTGTTGATAAAAGTAGAAGAGGGCCATGACCACTGAGGAAGTTCAGTTAAAGACTTATTGCCACCAGGTAGGGGTGTAACAATGCATCGTGATATCGCAATGCAAAACTGAGACAATGTGCACTGTGGGAAATGGACATTTTATTCATTTACCATGTTTGAATTAAATAGTATTGTTTAAACGCAGCACCGATCAACACTTCACTCCAGCACTCCTCCTGCCTCCCAGCTCTGTTGCTGTCAGTAAGTTGTGCAACAACATGACTACCACTGTTCTTCACTCATTTGTCCAAAATATCATGAGAAAACAGTCATGAACCCAGAATCATGGATCGAATCAAATTGTGGGCTGAATGCACTGTTACATCCCTACCGAAAGGATACCAAAAGATGACAACGGACATTATGCAGAATTTTTAAAAGAAGCTTCCACAGATTTAAAACATGTTCAGTAAAGTTTACTGTGGTAAGGTTTTTAAGACCTTCAGAGATCTACTTAAATGGTACACCATAAAACCACAAGGCAGGCATGCGTCATTTCAAAACACTAAGTTACGGTTAAGTTAACAAAATACATGAATGCACATTAATTACTCAGCATGATGTCAGGTGTTCAAAACTAAAATACTCAAAATCCAATAATTAAACATTCCAGTTAAAAGTAAAAGTATGTCTGGGCAGTTAATGGTTCTTTGTTAGAAAGTTTCCCTTTTCAGTTTGACTGCCAATACTCAGAAGACTAGTTGGTTATAAAGCTTAAGGCTGAAACTGTTTCGTTCTGACTCTGTTTAGTAAAGTCCTAATCTATGGCAATTTATGTAAAAACGTCCTTTTGCTGAAAACGTGTCTCTAAGGGGATGTTGTTCACCTTTCAGTTTTAAGATTAAAATTGGAAAAATAAATAAGGACTCAAGACATTCATTAGATATCTTTAAAAATTATTTTACAATAAAAGAAACAGTTGGCACAATTCATTCACTAGTATTTTTTCCGTATTGTCTTTACAATAAAAAAAAAAAAAAAGTTGTGAAATTTCACATTAATACAAACATTCAAAAAAAAAAAAACAAAAAAACAAAACAAAAAGAAAACAAAAAAAAAAACACTACTGAATGAGTCAGGTAATTCGCTCCACGTCCTTTATGATGATGTAGTGCAGTGGCTTCCTCAACATCTTGCACATTTAATGTGATGAGATTATGATGTGAGGATTACAATCCGGTTGAAAGTTAAAAAAAAATATATAAAATGAACACAGTCAGCTCTCCACAATCTCCACCTGAAGGAGCCCATACACGATAGCAACAAGAAACAAAACAAAAACAAACACCATCCCAAAAAACAGGAACCCAAAAGTCCATTTATCCTAACTCATACACACTTTTCCTCTTGGTTTGACCAGACAAATGAAGCTCTTGGTCCGTTCAGTCTCTGACCAGGACAGACACACAACACACAAACTGCCTGAAGCATGATGCTGACCAAAAACAGGGGAAAAAAAAAATTTAAAAATAAAAACGAAAAGTCACACTGACTCATTTTTCATGACCTCGTCTGACAGCAAGGCGCACGCTCGGCTGCTAGTGTGACGGTTAGTGTGAGGAAGAGGAGGGGAGTGAGGAAGAGAGGGGGGGAGTAGGGCAGGCAGTGAGCTTTATAGACCTGCTCCTCTCCCATCTCACTCTCAGTCCTTCCCTCTCCGTCAGTCAACAGTGTTGTGGTGGGTTCAGATGTAGTGAGGAGCCGCTGGGGGGCAAGAGGTCACTGCCTCCTGTCCTCCGTCTCTGATCTGGAGAAGGCCATCACCACGTCCTCTGCACCTGACAGGGGAATAGCAAAGTTTGGCAATTTAGTACAGTGATGTAAAGGTGGGTGATACGGCAAAAACATGACATTACTATACACAATATGCGCCACTTGTAAGACAGAAATACCACTTTCTTAAAAGGATATGAAAAAAGTACAAAGATTTTTTTATGAATTCAACACAAATATAAATATTTCTGAATAAGGTGAGAAAATAAAACAATTGGTTAAAACAAATAATATTTAAAGCATAAAGGAGGTAAATTCTACTGCTCAAACTTATGAATCTTATTTTGTACAATACTGTACAATATATAATTGTACAACATAGAGGAAACAACACAAAGCTATAATGCACTGAGATGATCAAATAACTGAATTTTACTATACAGACTACAAGGCACGCTCTCCCTTCCCCTCCCCTTTTTATATGTTAACTGTTTAATCAGGTGCATGTGCACATGTCTGAATGTATGTGCTGTCATATGCAAAAGTTTAATTTTTGCTGATTTTCTAAGTGAAAATTAGTTAACACATCCTCTACAGCAGGTGTGTCAAACTCAACCACTAAAAGGGCCATATTAAAAAAAATGTTTTTCATTTTAATTTAACATGTACCATATCGTCAAAATGCTCACCACTACTGTGACACGAAAAAAGTGATCATAATCAAGGATAAGGCAATAACTGTGGTGCAAGGTACACTCCAAAGTTTTTTAAATGAAATAAAGAGGGCATTTGTACCCGACTGAAAGCACAAAACAGTTTTGTAAAAGGATTACAATTCCCCTGCTGTGACTCTAACACAGGAGCCGAAAAAACAAAACTGAACATCACATTCCTGCTATGATTAGACACTTTTCAAGGGTATTACCGTCATGAGGGTACAAAGACGTACTTGGGAAGAAAAAGCCTAAATTAACTGGAAGCACACTCCAGGGCTGCAGAGATTATGCGCCTCCCAAACAACAGCAAACCACATTATAACCACCTCACATTATAATTCAACCTCATATCCATATTTTAGCACAATACCTCAGATGAATGCAACACCAAGTAAATCCTAGCAAATGAGGGCCACAGGAGTCATTAAGACTGGATCAAATCTGTCATAACTGTAAGAATATAATTTATCCTGCATTTTTCTGTATAGGGAGTCTAATACAGCAATTTGTTTCACATTTGTATGGTAGAAAAGTTGCCTTGAAGGCTGTTTCTCTGTATGCTCATCAAAAGCTTCTGTCCATTCCTGCCCTCTCAGCGGCAGGGACCCTGCCCTCACATTAGGAGGGGGACAGGTGTTCTCACAGCCCAAAACAAACATATCGCAAGGCCTTGAGGTATGTGGAGAAGTCGTTTAAAACATGCTTTAGGCTTTCTTTAATGTCTCCTGGCTAAAACACGCTGCCAGGCCTTTAGTGTACTGAGAGGTAAGGGTGTAATGATTTTGACACTGTATAGAAAATGAAAAAAAACAAAACAAAACAAAACAAAAAACCCAAATCGTTCAAAACAGTGTCAAAATTTAAAACTGATCTGCCAACATGCCCCTTGGACTTCATCGATGTTCTCTCATTTACCATCTTTCGTGGAAATCAAAAAATATAAATAATCTAACTGGATCAGTAACAGAATCCTCTTATTCAGTTAACCATGTGGACCACGTAGTAATTTTAGGACAGGCTGAAATAGTCACGGAAGCAAACACAGTGAGAAAGCATGCGAGTTGAAGCTTTATCTTTGTCAAATAAAGGAATAACTCACGGTTTGTACAGGCATATCTGCCTGCGGCAACGATGCACAATACCTGTTTAGCTGCTTTCTAAAACACAATACCACAATACACGTGGTATTAAGGTACGACAGTGTTCATCAACCCTGAGTCTAGTAACAAGAACAATCTGCCAAACCTGTTCCAGCTAATTAACTTCTTCATTAGTCCATGATTGGCTAGATCAGATGCACTGTTGTTAGGTAAGGAGGGGGCAGCATGTTAGAAACAGGTTGAAACTGTAAGTAAGCAGATCTCCAGAAGGAGAGCTGGTGATCACTGATGCAGGATATAAATTCACCCCACTTGCTTAAAAGTTAACATTTGGGAATACTAGTGTTGTGTTATGGTTGGCATGAAATAAATTGACAAATGAAAAATGATTTAAAAAAACAATTTACAACAGTAAATGAGTTTTAGTTTTAACTCTGTTAAACAATACTGGGCACAGACCTAATTTAAACAGTAACTTAGGTATAGTTAATGCTGAGTGTAAGGCAAATGGAGACATGCTATATAAGGATTATATGAGGCAGTCCAGACAGTGACACTACTTTGCATCAGGACACGCTACTGGCGACTTAATAATTAGATCTCTACAGAATCAAGATCACATTAAACATAAAAAAATAAATTGAATCTTGACCTGTATATATAAGTATTGCTTTACTCCTACTGAGATGAAGTTTAAAAACATGTTTTAGACTTTCTTTAATGCCCCAAGGCCCTTTATATAAGTTACTTGCCATCCAAAAAGGGCCAAATGTTCTGGTACAGATATATATATAAAAAAAAAAGTCAGCAATCTCACTCCTAACAATATGGGACTGGCAATAGCATTTAGCTAAGACATACTGCTGATATCTCTACTGAGGGGTCCATCCATTCATATAAAGAAGGCATCCACGAAGCACTAAGCTGCATGGGTCATTCTGCTGCACCAGATAAGAGTGTCTAAAGTGAATGATAAGGCATCTAGCATTATTCTGAAGTAAGGACACACGGGTCAAAGCTAAAACAAGCACCCACTGTGAAATTTATCTGTCTGAAGAAGGTAAGAAAATACAATTCCGGCTGCTTTACGGGGAACCTGACAGCTAAAGATGAAAGATATCACTTGTGATTTTAGTCAGGTATCCGGCTAGACTCGCAGAGGGGAGTGCTAATCAATTCAAATCCCACATTACGGATTCTGTCTCAGCTCGGAAAACAAACTCAGTTTGGGAGGTAAACAGGATTTCGAGTTGTTCTAAGATAGATATGGATTAATACGTACAATTTCATCAAAACAGTAAATAATCAGGACAAACACTCAAGCTCGTGCACTTTATGCCAGGCCAGGTGGATGGCTGAAGGTTAAGAGGGGTGCGTTTGTTATGGAGGAAGGGCTCTCATGTTTTGGTGGAAATCTCCCAGGACCTAATCGAAGCTGCTTGCTGAAGCGGATTTGTCCTTGTCAGCAGCTCAATAAGGCAGCTGCACTCTCAGCCAAGTCGAAAACAGCAGATTCTGTGACCCAAAACTCTGCCCGTTCTTGTAATTTGAGAGCTGCTGTTGACCGAGATACAGCCTGAATTTTACAGTATATAGGATATATATAGGATAGTCTATAGGATCAAAGTCAAAAATTAAATACCATCACTGTCATAAACAAACCTTTTGTCTTCACTTTATGAAGGAGAAACTATGAGTTGAAAATACTTTAATATAACATTTAATATTTTATTTGAAGTCATTTCAGACCATGTCTTCTGGTATTTTTTTATCATGAAAATGTTCACAGAAAGTAAAGGACAGCTAGCGGTTTCAAAATGGTGTACAAAAGTAAATATTTAAAAAAACGTTGCATAACTGTGTTGATATGCTGCTTTGACGTTTTTATGATACACAATACATATCATGATATTTTGGCTCGAGTGCCACATTTAAAAAAATACTATTAATAGAATGATCTTTATTCCACAGTTTTGCATACTGCATTCCACTAAATCCTGTTAAACAGGACTAATTATGCATGTCTTCGTAATGAAAAATTGCGGTTGGTCAGTGTTCTTTAAGTACTGATGATATTCATGATAGTGAAGCATTGAAATTTCTACCCTTGAAAACATTCGTGTAAAAACAGCCAAGAAATAGTAAACAAAATAGAAAAAGGGTTTAAATTTATGACTGAAAATATTCAAGCTTATAATGAAGTGTCAAAATCTTAGACTTTACAAATAATTTTATTAATAATAAAAATTAGAAATAGTGATTAAAAATGTTTCCTTCACTCTCCCGCATTGCTTTGCAGAGATGCGTTCAAACAGTTTGAGCAGCAGCAGACCAACAGTGGAAAAGCTGACTGTGTGGAACAAGACAAGTGATTTGGAATCACTGTTCATGTCAAGTAACAGGAAGTGGTACAATTAGGGGTGGGTAATATAGCCAAAATATCATATCACGATGAGTCCCACATTTAAAAAACTGCAGACAAAAACTATGAGTACAAAGATTTCTGTTCAACATTTCACATAACGTGCCATACTAAATCCAATTAAATGTGACTAATCATGTTCTCTTTGTAACGACATATGCAGCTGGTCAGTGTCCTTTGAGTACCCACTATATACACAACGTGCTCAGAGAAGCGTGTTATCACGATAATAACCAAAGATGACCAACTGTTCTCCGTTATCAAGGACTGGCTCACATACTGAAATCATTTTAACAAGTTTATTTTATTTAAACTGTTAGGATTCAGCTTTTTTCTGTTTGTAGCTTTGGTTTTCAGCACAGTGTGTCCTCAGTTTCAGTTTTGGCCAAGACTTCATTTCAGTGCATCACTAATATCAGTCATGACTGGGTAAACTTAGACAGGCTTTAAACAGAAATAATCGATGATAAAAGCTTTGATCAGAGTGTGCCTCTCCAGTTCTGCAGTCAGATTGCTTGCAGACACCTTTTAAGTGGTGCTTCTGACGAAGAAGCCTGTTTTTATTTCTCTGCACCTTTGCTATAAAAAGCTTTCACAGCTTCCCATAACACCTCCTGGTTTGATGGATTTAATTATGTGCAAAGATGAAAGTAGGCCAAAGACTGTATTAAACACACAAGCACCCACAAAACTCTGTGTGTGTGTGGGAGTGTGTGTATACTTGTGTGGATATTAAAGAGGGTGGAGCTTTTTCTACAGAGGCTGTAACAGCACAGTTTGTGCTTGGCACGACGAGTGAGGATTGGTCATCACTGTGGGCCACATCA